AGTGCCCCACAAGGCAATTCTTAAATTCAGGGAAATTCAATAAGGGAAGGAAAAGGAATGCTGGTACACCATCGGCGGGCTGTGATGAGCCCCGGGGTACTCATCATAATACACAGCAAATACCTACTAACGGGGCTTGTTTTACTTGGGGACAAGATAGTAAAAAGATCAGCCTAAATGACAGAAAAGTTCTATATGGTATTAAGTAGTTGCATTTGATTTTTAATGGTCAGCAGTACTTGCGGAAAATATCAATGACTCTAGGGGCACGTGGCCGGCTCGGTGGTTGGAGCGTGCAACTCTCGGTCTCAAGAGTTGGGTTGTGAGTTCAAGCCCCACCTTGGGGGGTGCGGAGCCTCCCTAAAAGGGAAAAAAGGAGTAAAAAAGTTTTTTATCAGTGACTTTAAGATACGTGACAGATGCTGATACAAGAACGGAAGGGCCCACCTGCATCAACTGGTGAGAGGAAAACTTGATCACGCGGAAGTGTGCTCTGTCCTTGCAAAACGATCTGCAGTGTCGTGCCAGCTGGGGCCGCGCAGCAGGCATATCACTTTTCTATGTGGGGGGCGGGGGGGGAGCAATTATAATAGACTCGATTCTGTGCTCACCTCTGCTCCTGAGCGAAGTCAGGTTGCTTCTGTGGGACATCCAGCTACGAGCAAACCGCACCCCCAGGCGAACTTTTGATTGATGGGTAGCTCAGCTAGGGTGAGTCTCTAGATTTTCCATTACCTTTTGGAGACAAGCGGAAAAACCTATTGCAGGTGGAGGCTGTTTACAAAATGGCCTTGGCTGATTCCTACGGATCCGGTTTCGAAAAAAGAACAAACAGAACCAGGCAGACGCTTAGGTTGTGACACTTCCCCCTGTACGTTAAAGCTGGAGAAGTGAGGTCGCACCTGCGTTTGCCTTACCCACCCTACGCCTACGTTCTTTAAGATTTGAAGGCGGTACAGTGGGATGTGTCATCCTTAAATGTTGATACCTGGCCGTAAAAGTCACCGTCGGCGTCGTGGTTGTGCTAGCGACGTGGCCCTCACAGCCGAAGCAGTGAGGCAGGTGTATAAAATACACACTTGCCCCGACTTGATGGTTTGTGTCGCGGCTTTGAGCAGGGGGTGACTTCATCCCCTGAGCACTTCGGGCTGTCTTCCGGATGGGGAGCCGCTGCTGTCGCCGAGTGGGTGGGGGCCGGGCTGCAGCTAAGTGTCTACAGAGCAGGGGACAACCCTGCCCGCAATCACCTGGCTCAAGGTGCCCCGGCACCGGGGTCTGGGAGGCCCCCACCCATGCGGATCTTCTGGCGTTGGAAAAACGAAAAGACGAAAATCTAGCAAAGCTAGCACAACTGCTCTAAGATGTCCGTAAAGGGTTTTCTGGCCCGTTATCCGGGTGGGATTTTGCATAAGTCACAGCTTTAAATTCGTGCTTAGAGGTAAAGTATGCTGTTGACTCTGGAAAAGAAAGATTATGCCTTCAGTCTGCTGCTGAACAAATTCCGGAAACTTCTCAAAGTCCGATTTTATGATTTTTGACAGTGAAAAATGAATTTCTTCAGCGTCCAAAGCAAACGACACGGTTTCCGTGGGGGGTGGAGAAGCAGCGCTCGGCGTCTGGCGCGCAGGAGCTCAGGAGAGCCCGCGAGCGGCCGCACACAGCCCCGTGCAGGCCCGGGCTGCAGGTCCGCAAGCTATGCAGGCGGCCCCGGGGCAGCACGAGGGCCGCAGGGCGCCCGGTCGACCGCTCTACCCAACCACAAAGAAGTTAGGACCCCACACAGACGCTGGCCCCGGGAGCCTGCTCTGCTAACCAGAACCGGGTCACCCGGGTTAGAGCAGCGAGTATCACCGGCTACGGCTACGGACAATGACGACATTTGACAAAGGGTCATCAAATAAATGAACGCGCCCGGCTGTCGGTCTCCCTTGGAAGCAGGTCACGGCTCTCCTGGGAAGGGTCCGAGAGGCTCTCTGGTTGGCCTTCAAGACACGGCCTGCCTGGCAGGAAGCGTGAATGTTCCCTCAGGAACCCGCATGGAGAAGAGAGGTGTAAGGAAGGAAAAATGTTCCCTCCTAGGTTCTTTGGCTGGTCGAAGAATTAAATTGACATAAGACAAATTGACAGAAAAAACCCCCACAAATTTAATTCCATACATACAGGAGCGCATAGAAATGTGAGACTCGAAGAAGTGAGCAAGCAGGCAGCTTTTGGACCTCTCAGAAAACAAAGAAGCAGTTATTTGTGATGAACTGACAAAGGGGTTTGGCTTGGGCTCGCAAATGAACGGAGAAGTAAGAAAGTTGTTGATAAAAGCCTTCTGGGTCCTGAACTGCCCCTCTCTGGGGATGAGGCCGCTGTTAGCCTGCAGGTGCACGGAGGGTGCCCTTCCCACAGGAATTTATTTCTTGCATTCAGGGGGACAAAGGGGTGTCCTTCTTGTAAAGGCTATTTCTTAAATAATTTTTAAAAAGATTTTATTTATTCATGAGAGACACACAGAGAGAGGCAGAGACACAGGCGGAGGGAGAAGCAGGCTCCATGCCAGGGAGCCCGACGCGGGAGTCGATCTGGGGACCCCGGGGTCACGCCCTGGGCCGAAGGCAGATGCTCCACCGCTGAGCCACCCGGGCTGCCCTATTTCTTAAATGATTTTAATTGAACAGAATCCATACACCAAAGTGGCATATTTTGCTCCCCTTTAGACCCACCTTGAAACTGCAAGAAGCTTCACAATCCAGAAGCTGAGTTGGTAGCCTGTTTTACTATTTCACTGAATTAATCTCTAAGTCTTGAAAATAGCTTGGTTCAGTTATACAGTTACGTCTCGTTTTAGGAGGTGGTGATGTAACGGGGCTCCCCAGTGATGTAATTGGGCCTCCTATTGTGCGAGAAATTAGGTGTTTAATAAGGCATTTCTATGGAAATGAAAGAAAAACGAAAGTTAACAATTAGAACAAATTATAAACCAGCTTCAGAACCCGGGGGCACACCCCGTCAAGAACATTTCTAGCTGTCGGGGTCAAAGCATCCTATGCAGTTTGAACTTTCTGAGTGGCGCGCACAGCAGCAGGCACGAAGGCTGTTGAAACCTGCGTTATTGTGGCAGGTTCTTCTCTGAAGTTTGTACCAAATCGCTCACAATCCGTTTGCAAGGCTTTGAGAAACGGGCAGCTTTTGTTCTTCATGATTCCGAGTCAAAAGTGGGAGAAAATTGGAAAGGTTAGCTTGGACAGCTACAGGCAAATACTGGGGGAAACTAGAATTCCGGATCCAGGAGACTCTCCAGTGGGTCTTTCCATCTTACAGGTGTAAGACCAAAAAAAACAAAAAAAACAAAAAAAAAACCCCACAAAAACAAGCCCAATCCAAGCTAATTACCAGCACTAGAAGCTGATATTTACACAGGTGTATTCCTGAAACATTTTTCTGTCTATCAAAGATAATCACAGCAAGACTAATTTGTTTGCAAATTAGATCTAGTTTCTGTAAATTTGGCCTATTTACATAAGTGTAGCATGAATAATCATTTGATGAGCTAGGCTCTTCTAAATCTGCTTTGCTGGAACTTTCTAGAAGGAATCTCAGATTGAACTCTTAAAAGCCTCTCAAGGCTGGGAAGCCAAGCCAAGGATTTGCCATCAGACTTCACTTGCGATACCTATACATCCGGGTTGAATTCCTCTCTTCTCAAGGTCCCCAAAATATTCTGACGGTCCTGAACCTGCCAGGAAGTGACCTTCCTCACTCACTGTCCTGAGGCCGCCAGGACCCCTGGAAGCCAGGTACTAGGCCGACTTCCCCAAGGGGCTTTATTGTTCATTGGCTCCATAAAGTCAACCTTACCTTCTTCAAGTTGTCTGGCCGACTCTGAGGCTACGTGTACTCTCATATATGGCATTCCAGTCCAAGCCCCGGGAGGGCCGATGTTCCCACCCAGGCTCGTTATAAGAACAGATTCTTACTGAACTTATGCAAATAACTGTCTCACCGTGAAAATACGATTACTCATTCAGGTTTAAAATTCTGGAGGTATGAGGTAGAGAAAAAATGTAACTGTTTCAATTCTGCTTATAAAGGAATAATTTAACTGCTGTAAATCCACAGGTAATTTAAGAGAAAAAGTTTTTCTTAAATCTGGAAAAACCGAACATTAAAAAAAAAAAAACACAAAAGCAACGTTCAAACAAAAATGTCAAAAATAATTATGCTCATCTATCTCAGTTCATTCAGCCCCGTGTTCATTCAGTCTCATGTGATTAATATTCGTTCTGTTTGAATCCAGTTTTTCTGTTGGTTGTGGAAATTCTTTCCCAGTTCCACTGGATGCTCTTAAAGTTACCAGAAACCTGTATTCTACAGTACTTGCTAGAGTCCATTCATGAATTTCCTTGAAGATGAAACACGTTTGCGGGAAAACTTTTAAAAAGCACCAGAGTAAAACAGTAACTGTAAATGATAAAAGACTTAAAAATGGCCATAGCTAAAGGTCTGATGGAGTCTGTTACAGTGCAGCTGACCAATTGTGGCATGTTTCTCTTTTATAAAGAAAGAAAACAAATCTTTTGGAGCTATTTCCGGGAACCTCTGGAAAAATCCCAGCTTACTTTCCTGGTCAAAAAACTTTATTTAGAAATTGATTTTGGAAAGTTGGTCAAAAATATCGAGTCTGCAACACTTGACTAAATGGGAACATAGATGATTTGAAACAATACTTAATTATCTATTTAACCAAGTAACAAGATTTTAAAGGCAAATTTAGAAGGTTACATGGTTTTAAGTAAAATTCAGCTCTTGAGGAGAAGACGCAGTTAAGTAATCAAGGACCCGATAAAGACAACATGAAACACAGGAAGTTACTTTAGTGACATATAACATCTCCGCTTTCCAGGCAGATTACTTAAAAAGTAAAGAAAACCATAATATCTTATCGAGAGCAGACCAACAGTCTGAGGAAACTTTTTCTTTTTAGCAAATGAAAGAAAATTACATAAGCAAGCTATTTAAACAAAAAACAAGTTTATTATTTTTAAAAACCCTTTAACAATTCAATTTTTAGCCAACATGACTACAAAAGGTAAAATTTTCTTTCTTTTCCTTCCCTCCTTCCTTCCTTCCTTCCTCTTTCTTTTTTCTTTTCCCAAACTTCTGTGTTCTTAGCTTGTCCTTTATTTTTCTCTTTTTCATTCTGTAATGACCATTCTGAAATAACCAGCTTTACTTTAGGACAAAATTTACTTTCTTTTCCCTTAACTAAAATACATCTCCATGCCTCATACCTTTTCTCAGCTAAAAACACATCCTAGTTTCTTTGCAATACAGAGTCATCCTTCTTATTTCTATTAGTTTTAATTACATATTTCAGAAGTTTCCTACAGTTACATTCACAAGGTGGTTCTCAACCTGCAAGGTCAACCAGAAGCACCTGCAGAACTGTGAGAACAGTTTGCTGGGCCCCACACCCAGTTTCTGATTCAACAGATCTCGGTGGACATTAAGAATCTCATGTCTAACAAGCCCCCAGGTGATGCCAATGCTGCCGGTCCAGGACCCCCACTCTGAGAGTCATTCAGTCTCTATTACTCCATTCCACATTCCACGAGACTGTGAACTCCTTGAGATGAGGGAGCATTTCTTCTACATCTCATTTCCAGGGCCTAGCCAGTGTCCAGCAGTCATTTACTCGATCAACAAATACTCATTGAATGTGTTATGTGCCCGGCACTATTGTAGGCACTGGATTCATCAGCTTAAAAAATTTATATATTTTATACATAAAAAATTTATAAACATACAATTATATGTATATGCATATATAAATATATGTATGTAAATATGCATGTGTGTGAATATATGTATATGTACATATGTTATATATATATATTCCTGCCCTCATAGAGCTTTCCTCTGGTATTACATAGGAAATTCTCAATAAATGCAGAAAACTGACCAGTTGTAAAGAAGGAAATATGGCATCATCATGAAAATTTTCATAGTGCTTGGAAATATAAATTTTCCCATTTCCTAATCCTAGTTTTTCCCATTTTGTTTCTCCCTTCTGATACCCCTCTCAACGTCCAACACACAAATCCATAAACCTGACAGTACACCAGGCTTTTGGGTCTTACAAAATATTTGCTGATTGATTTATAAAATATTTGATGTGGATGACATATTAGTTAAAAAAACAATGATTCTAATATGAATTTAAGCTTGTATATATTATATATCAAAGCAATTGGGAGGATGTGAGCAAATCTCAGTTATTTACATCCTGATAAAGATTTTAGAATACCTTAACTACAAGTTTTCAAATTAGCCTTAGATCTATCTAAGGGTATCTTTCCTCCTCTCTCAATATTTATGGCAATTCTCAACTGCCTGGTATGATGACCTCGAACTCCCAGTGGACCTAAGCAGGCTGCTGTACAAATAGGGACACGGGTCAATATTTGGATTGTCCTGTGTACAATTCTGAGATACTGGTGGGGGGCCTTGTGAGGCCACGGGGTGCTGTGGAAGGGTTGGGGACAACAGCAGATCTCTCCACAGCCAAGGCAGGTGCTCCTCGGGATGTCACACCCTGTCCTGTGGGCCATGGGCTGTGCATTCCCTCCCTAATTCTAGGAAAGTGCAAAACACATACCTTCATCTTTGGACTATTCTCTGAAAGTTTCTCAGCGAATGAAAATGAGAGGCCTCACAAAGAGCAATTTGGGAATGAAGTGAACTGACCATATGTTTACTGTCAAGATCTTCAGTATTCTTAAGGTTCACGGATAGTTTTTTTTTTTTTTTTGGTTCACGGATATTTTTAAAAGATCTTCCACTGAAAGCTACAAGACACTCTATTAACTGTATGGAGGGGAAAATGGGCAGCATTTACGAATGGAATTCAACAAAGGCTGGTTTCAATATTCCAGACTGAAATATTTCTTCACTCTTAATAATATTCTCTTCCTACTGCTGCCTAAATCAGTGACTTAACATGCCAGTTCAACAAATCATTGTGATTTCTACATACTGGAAGGTTTTTTAAAAAATCAGTAACATTGTCAGGAATATACTTTAATAATGGGGACTGGCTATGCCACCTTCATTTTTTTACAATTCAATCCTAATTAAATTCTGATTATTAAAAAGCTTGAGGTATAAGTGTGAACTTTTGGTGAGCCATACAATGACTTAAAAATGGCCAGGTCATCATTTATTTCTTTGGAGCAGGTTACTAATTATCACCTTCAAAATCTGAAGGAATTAATATTTTTTAAAAGGTGTTTAATTCTCTGCTGGGAGGTGACCTCCAGTGAACCAGCCCCTTTCAAGAAACTGGCTAATATAAAGCTATGACAAGGAGAAATTAACCTCTACAAGGTGATCAAATTTGTCTCATTAAATCATTGCTACCTCATTTAATGTAATAAAAGAACACACCACTATATTCTGAAAAACACACAAATCTAAAAGAAAAATATTCTCATTAACATCATTCATATGGTAGTAATAAATTAGTTTCTTTACAATGTTTTTTTTTCAGTTATTCACAAAATCCATCCTTATTTTCTGAGTTAACAAGGCTGAATTTTAAAAGTGCAATAAAAATTCTTGAGGCCTCACTCCAGTTTCGACAGGACTTGTTAGTGGTTTCCAAGACACAGCTTTTTGTTTTGGTGCTGTTCTTCACCGGGCGGTAAGGGTCTCATCACACCATCTAGTGTTCAAGAATAACTTAGTATCAGGAAAACTGTACTTCAGATAGATGGGTCTGAAAGTCATATGGGTTATAAGATCAAAATAATGCTTCAGTTAAAAAGGAACATGCATTTTATCTTAAATTCCCAACTGTTGAAGAACAGATTCTAGATAACTCAGGCTGCACAGTATCTACTTTATTAAAAAGCGGATTCACTCAACTATGAAATCTATACTTTAAAAGGGCAAATTAATGATAGGTGGAACCTATCACAATAAAGCTGTTACAAAATTGAAAAAGAGATAAGATTTTCTGTTGATATAAAACATTTGTTCAAAAATGTGTACAAAACATGACCTTGCAGTTCAGTCAATAGTCACAAAGCAAACCTACGTTTGGCCATCACCCAGGTCAATAATTAAAACATGGCCAGCAAAGCAGAAGCCTTTCTCTTGCCCTCCCGCCCGATGGCAACCCCTCCTTCCCATCTCAGGACTGCCAAGGGCAGCAGGCACGCCTTCCCTTCCTTGGTGATCTAGGATACGAGTCCTTTATTGATGGTAAGTGGGAAATATCTCCTATTCTATGGCTTGCCTTTGTACTCTTTCAATGATATCTTTTGATGACCAGATGTTCTTAATTTTAACATAAATTAATTCATCCCCTTTTGGTTACTGCTCGTTGTGTCCTTTCCCTAACAGCAGGGAATTATTAACTGACCCCCTCAAACACTGTTCATGAAGTCATATTCTTTAAACAGATCCATATTTTTTTTCCACTTATTTTCCCTGATTAATTTTTTCAAAAGATGGGGTGGATAGGTATTTTTTTTCCAGACTGCAAATAAAAATACACTACCTGAATAAATAAAGCTAAGTTCATAACACACACAAAAAAATCAAGGTATTTACACAGAAACTATAGAATAGAAATTATTTTCATAAAGACCTCTTCCTTTCCTTACAAATCAAAACCACAATGAGATACCACCTCACACCAGTCAGAAAGGCTAAAATTAACAAGTCAGGAAACAACAGATGTTGGCGAGGATGTGGAGAAAGGGGAACCGTCTTACACTGTTGGCAGTAATGCAAGCTGGTACAGCCACTCTGGGGAACAGTGTGGAGGTTCCTCAAAAAGTAGAAAATAGAGGAAACTACCCTATGACCCAGCAATTGTTGTATGACTGAGTATTTACCCCAAAGACATAAATGTAGTGATCTGAAGGGGCACCTGCCCCCCAATGTTTATAGCGGCAGTGTCCACAATAGCCAAACTGTGGAAAGAGCCCTGATGTCCATCGACAGATGATGGATAAAGAAGATGTGGGATATATATGCAACGGGATATTACTCAGCCGTCAAATCTTGCCATTTGCAATGATGTGGACAGAGCCAGAGGTTATTTTGCTAAGTGAAGTGAGTCAATCAGAGAAAGACAATTACCACATGATCTCACTCATATATGGAATTTAAGAAAGAAAACAGAGGACCATAGGGGAAGAGAGGAAAAAAAAAACCAAGATGAAATCAGAGAGGGAGACAAACCATGAGAGATTCTTAACCATAGGAAATAAACTGAGGGTCGCGGGAGGGGAAGTGGGATGGGGGGATGGGGTCACTGGGTGACGGGCATTAAAGAGGGCATGCGAGGTAATGAGCACTGGGTGTTATGTAAGACTGACGAATCACTGACCTCTACTTCTGAAACTAATAATACATTATATGTTAATTAATTGAATTTAAATTTTAAAAAAATCTCTTCATTTCCTGATTTTTTCAAGGTAATCAAATCATTGTTATCTTCAAAAAAATTTTTATTTATTATACAAAATTTCCATTTACCTAGAATCCAAACAGATAGATAACATAGTTTATATTTAAATATGATACCATGGGGGTGCCTGGATGGCACAGCCGTTTAAGCCACGGTTCTGCTCAGGTCATAACCTCAGGGTCATGAGACTGAGCCCCACGCAGGGTCTGCACTCAGCACGGAGTCTGCTTAAGACTCTCCCTCTGCCTTCTCAATCCCTTCCCTATCCCCACCATCACACACTCTCTCTCAAATAAATACATCAATCTTGGAAAATAATACTGTATAGCAATAACTAATGTTCAAAATTATATACTTAAGGAATTGCAAGCAAGATCTCCCTAAGGTGACATTATATTAAAAAAAATCTGTGTTAATATGCAAATAATAAAGCTTTGAAGACTAATCATTCATTTATAGTAGTGGTGATGACTTTAGATTATTCAAATAACCAGAGGATTTCTATTCTCTGATCAATCTCTACAAATGTGCCTTTACTCAAATAAAAATGTATACACCCTCTAATTTGGCCCTACAGCCAGGTATGTATTTTTTATTTTTAAGATTTTATTTATTCATGAGAGACACACAGAGAGAGGCAGAGACACAGGCAGAGGAAGAAGCAGGCTCCATGCAGGGAGCCTGATGCGGAACTTGATCCCGGGATTCGATCCTGGGACTCCAGGATCACGCCCTAGGCCGAAGGCAGGCGATAAACTGCTGAGCCACCCAGGGATCCCCGGGTATGTATTCATTATATACGTTTTTCCTTCCTAACTGCCCAGCAAGCTTCAGTTCGTTATAGGAGAGCACTGTAGTTTACTGTTTCATATAAATCTAATGTATATATTCAATTTGTACATAATTATTTGTATTAAACTGCAGATTCCATAGAATTGATTATAAACCAGCACTTTCCATTGAACCTAGCATATAGTAGACAGATGTTTGTGAACAACCTGAATGGCAAACATCTAACCTGCAGAAGGAATATGCTCTATCTACCACCACGACAATTTCCAATTTCCAACCCCTTAATACTCGCTACGTATCCTTTCTTTTCAGCAACAAAGTTAAGCTTAATAAAAGACTTTTAAATACTTACTCTCTTTGCTTCCAGGCTCATTTTGTTCACTGACACAAGCTCCTGATGGATTCAGCTGCCACTGTAAGAGGGCACAAACCTTTTATATGTATGTTTAGGGAGGATTTAATAAATAGCAGTTCAGCACCCTGCTGTCAAATATCAAAACATTTTTTTTTTAATGTAAGAAGAAAGAGTTAGCATGTTCCTACCAACCAGGCCCTAATATTGACCCTGAATGATCTGACTTCTGGGATCAGAATCAATATTCTTCGAGAAGGAAGGAACTTTAAAATCCTTTACCTTCATTTTAGAGGTAAGGAAGTGGAAGACCAGCGAAGGATAGTGACTTGCCTGGGATTTACACACTCAGGGCAGCAAGAGAATTAAAACCAGAGTCTGCTCCTGCTCAACACGATAGGATTTCCACCACATTCTATCTCCAGGTCCTACAGTATCTTATAACAGCCAGAGAGGGCCTAGATATTAGAGAATGAAAACACCACCAAGGCTATCTTGCCTTTGAATATAGTTATATCACATCACCAACATATCATATCTCCTCTACTGTCAGTTTTCCATCTCAGCCATTCAGAAGGAAACAGGGGAGCCTGAGAGTTCGCAGATAGTGCTGAGCAGCCTGGAGCTGCTGAGAAGAGAAACCGAGTGTAATCGGTACCTCATGGCACAGCCCTTCCTCCCTCACTTGGCCAGAAGTCCCCAGCATCAGGTCACCACTGACTTGACTGAAAAGGCCTCACTGGGGCACCGTCTCTAGAGAGGCACAATACAGTGTGCAGTACCCGGGAGCCTCCTCCATAAGCATCGGTGAGCTCAACAGATAAGCTCGCTAATACCATGATCCTTGGGGGTTGTGAGATACAGGACGAATATTTCGCCATGTATAAAAAAAACGTCTTTGGAAAGGGAGGGTTATCTAGAAATGGGATGGTTAGGGTTAGTACCCGGAAAAAGGGGATTTATAAGGGGTGGGAAATTATGTATGAAAAAAAAAAATAGGCATGTTTCAAAATGTGCCCAAACCACTAACATCTACTAATTTGGGCCAAGTAAAACTAATAACCCTGAATGTATATTTAAGGATAATCACAAAAAGACTATTTCAACTGTAAGAAACTTAGAAGCCATTTAGGTGCCTCACAGCAGGGGAATGGTTAGATAACTTATATCTCTAAGTTGGAATATTGTTGAATCATTAAACATTATTTTTGAAGAATTATCAATGACACAGAAAATACAGCAATGCACTAACAGTATCTATGAGTTGTCAGAGAATATCTGCTCTTTTACATGCCTAGTCCTCTACAATGAGCATATATTACTTACATATTTTTTTTAAAGGTAGTATGATCTAATAGAGAAAAATCCACATGTAGTAAATAGAAAAAAAAGTTTCTGAGTAAATGGACATGGGCCCACACTGGCAAAATCTATTTTTGAAAATACGGTTGCTCAGGCCTAGCCTCGTCTGCAACGATCCCACAGAACAGAACCAGTTATCTCAAGGGTATATGGTAACACCTCAAAGAGAAAAGCAAAACTTTTTCAAACAAAATTGATTTTAATTTGCTTTAATCTTAAAAGTAATCGCTTCTTAGACATCCCTGTACTACTCTGGACAATCTAAAAATAAGTATAAACATTATGTTCCAATTTAGAATGAATACTAGTTCGTGTTAGTCACTGGTATTTACAACACTAGGCATTTAGCTAGGCAGGCAGTTTGTTTTTCTAAAGATTTTATTTATTTACTCACGAGATACACACACAGAGACAGAGAGAGAGAGAGAAAGGGGCAGAGACACAGGCAGAGGGAGAAGCAGGCTCCACGCAGGGAGCCCGACGTGGGACTGGATCCCAGGTCTCCAGGACCACACCCTGGGCCAAAGGCGGCGCTAAACCGCTGCACCACCAGGGCCGCCCCTAGGCAGGCAGTTTAAATCACTTACATAATATTGCAAACCAGGCCAGACGAGGGGAAGGATGGGAAGGTGCAGAGAGCTGTCACTGGAATGCGCACAGAGAGGAGCCACGTGCACCCGAATGGGGTGCTCCTGGCAGGTCTTGGCCCATCTCCGCCGAGGGGACTCATGCCCTCTGTTCCTGTTCCTGTCACCGTGTCTTACCTTCTTTATGCTCTTTACAGCGGCACAGCTACTCAAATCCACCACTAAGCAATGTATTTTGGAATTCACTTAATCTGTCAGTCACAGTCCTGAAGAGCTAGGTCATTTAATCTTTATGGAGAGAATGTGAAAGGCCTATTTCTTCCCACTCCTCAGCAGGAACGAAGACACAGGAAACAACACCCAGCTGAAGATTTCCCTTTGACTAGCTGGGTGTAAGCTTCTGTTTACTTTTACAAAAGAGGCACCTTTCCCATCTCTCCGTTCTTTCAGGGCCCTCCTGTTCTTTTAAAAATCATGATGAGCTTTAAATAAAACTGGGAATAAAAAACTAAAAATAAATGACCAAAATAAAAAGGGTAAATATGTAAGACACTTCATGCACACACGGAAACTAGACAATGTTTTATAGTTTTAAACTTTTAAATATAAGTTATACACATAAATATATAAGTATATGTATACGTATATATATAGTTTAAAAATTACATTTTCCAGGCACTCTGGACTCAAAACAGGAATGTAAACTTGAAGTTTTTTTTTTTTTTTTTAAGATTTATTTATTTATTTTATAGAGAGAGAGCGGCAAGGGCCAGAGGGAGAGAATCTTCAGGCAGAAGCCCCGCTGGGGGCGGAGCCCAATGTGGGGCTCAGTCTCATGACCCTGAGATCATACCTGAGCCAAAATCAAGAGTTGGACACTTAACCAGCTGAGCCGCCCAGGAGCCTCTGGACACTTGAAATTCATAAGACAGTTATAGTATATGCCTCTTATAACCACTGCAAATTCTTGTATAGAAGTGTTCCGTTAAATGCCAAAATTATCGTTAAAAAGCAGCATATGATTCTGGGCAGGATCCTTTTGCTCTACAGGACACTGGGACAACTGGTGAACTTTGATTGGCAGCCATGGATGAACTGGCAGTAATGTGCCAAGGACGATTTCCTGAGTTTTGTGGCTGATTCGTGGTTTTGTAGGAGACTCTACTGTTTGAGGAAATATGTAATAAACTACTTGAGAGTGATCTGGTCATCATGTCAACAACCTACTTTCAAAGGTTTCTGGGGCAGGGGGGAAGCTCTTTGTAGTAGTTTTTGTAACTTTTCTGGAGGTTTGTGATTGCTTCTTAAAAGAGGTTTAAAAAAAAAAAAAAAAAACCTATGCAGTGAAATAGCTAGAGGTCTAAGTTTTCCATAAACTATTTTGGTACTTTTTTGGAGACATCAAATATTCAATCCCTTCTTTTTCTGATTTTTCCCATGAGAAATGTGTGTCATGACTGCACATGTGCGTACGTGCGTGTGTGTGTGTGTGTGTGTGTGTGCGCCTGTCTCTTAGGTAATCCTAAACTGTTTTCACTGCTGTTTACCACCCAAACCGGAAGGGCAAGGAAGAGGTGGGTCAGTGATTTTCTTCTGTTTGCCACCAGATAGCACCAAAGGGCCTGGTCGTTCAAGACCTGGAAGGGCCATAGTAGGCAGCTCTCCAGAGACGTATAAATTCTTAAGACAGAGGTTTTAAGCTGAGCATTTGCAATTATCATGTGAGTGCTTGCACACGATAATAGCTTGTTGGAACTCTGTACACGTGTGGGAATCACTAATTTAAAATATTCAGCAGGGTACCTAACAATATAATTGAAAGTATACTTGGAAAAAAAAGGCATCTCTACTTACTGTAAACTTACTAACACCCTCAAGTTCCCCAAATCTCATGTAAGAGATGTCTGCCTTCTTCTTTCCAACATCTACATCCCCGGCATAGATTTGTTTTATGCCGGCACCTTTAATTAAAGGTACACACTCGTCACACGGGCACTTGGTGACAAAAATCATGCTTCTTTCTTCTGGTTTTATTTCTTGACATCTATAAAAAAAAATTTTTATGAACATTAGAAAGGTCTAAACTGCCAAAAGGGTAGTTATAGTTTAGAGAAATCTGTAAAACACTAAAATCAAGCTGCTTTTAAAAGAGATTTCCAACATGATAAACAATAATAAATTTTGTTCTTGCCGAATTAGTAAATGTGCTAAATATATAAACTCATAAAATGTTAACACACACTCTGAACATGACAATTATTATAATTAGTAGTTGGTAAGATGTTCAGTAGTAGATTATAAATAAAAACAGAAAAAAGACGGACAATGAAAGAGAGAGGAGGCGGGAGGAGCTCTCCACTGAGGACTTGGTGATGCCACAGGTAGGGGCTGGAACTGACATCTGCCTTACGGCTTTACCGTGAGAGATTAGACATTAGCTCATCACGGGAGCTGAAAGATCTCTTATCTAGCACCTACTGAATATTTAATAAATGAATTCTTGTTAAATTGATAAATTAATATTAAAATTCTGCTTCGAGTTACAGTTCCTTCACCTCCTCCCTGAGACAGGATGCTCTAGTTTAACAGTCTTTCGGCTTTGACACGTTCATGCCTCCAGGCAAATGAAGCAAGTACACCTGTAATGAAGAGCACAAGGGAAGGGAGAGAGGAATTGTGTGCTGGAGGAGCCGAGCACTCAGCATCTTGTCTGAGGCTCCAGGGGTTCCGCTCCCTGGTCTGTGGTTTATACTGCTCTCAGCTGGCTGTCTATACCACTGGCAGCCTCCCGCATCCGTCTCTCCAGTTCAGACTCCTTCTGTCTGCCAACGCTAGGGCAACAGAACTTTAGGCATCTGGTCTATTGAAACAATATACCCGCAGCCCAAGTAATCGGTAGGGTGGCCACTTCCCCACTGCCTATCAAACAGACTTATACACTCGCAGTCTTCCCCTGTCCGGCCCCAGCTACTCGCATGAGCTCCAGGGTCCAGACTAATCGGACGTCTCATGTCCCTATACACACGAGCATTTCCCGGCCTCAGGACCATTGCTATGCCTGAGGCAAGAGGGGCTTCCCGTCACTTAAGCGCCTCCAACTGCCACAATCCTACCAGACCTTCTAAGCTCAGCTCAGATGTCAGTTCCTCCTTACAGCTTTCCCGTCCCACTCTCCCTCCCTCTGGAGCAGTTCCTGAATCCCCACAGGACTTTGTGTTGGCCTTTCCCAGAGAACCCATCATGGGAGCCTGAATGCAGCCTGACACCAGGGAACACTAAAAGCTCCTCAAGGACAAAAGCCATGTCTTTCTTAGTTCTGAATCCCCTAAGATCACTCCCTACATGCTAAGTGATGAGAAATGTTTGTGGAAATGACCTAGAGTAACACCAGAAGGAGGTAACGCCAGTTCCAATCCCTAACAAAAAGCATGTTAAAGCCATTCGGTTCATTACAAAAATCTATATATTCATAAACCTATGTGCTCTCGGTTTAGAAAATAAAGGACACCTTACACTTCAGAAAGATGGAAGACCCTAATGACAACTTCAAGCAGTTTTATATCGGAGACGAGGAAGACCAGAAAAAGAATAGGCTCGCGCAACAAATGCGAAGGCCTGGAGGACCTCCCACAGTAGCCTCAGGTCAGGCAGCAGATAGCGGGTATCACCAAAATTATACTTCTGAAAAGAACTTTTCTTAGAATTAAGAAAAAAATTTACAGCTAAAAGAAAACTGAATTGAACTAACCCTTGCTATGTTTTTTTTTTTTAAACCCTTGCTATGTTTTAAAGAAAAGACATGCAAACGGAATTTCATACCTGAATGTCAAGGCATTCTGCTCCGCGTGTACAATGTATCTGAATTTCCTTATTTCTCTGTCTTTCTGCTTGTCGTCCATGTGGGGGAAGTCAGCATACTCGGATCCAACAGGGAAAGCATTATAGCCACATCCTATGAAGTACATCGAGCCTGTTCCATCACAGCTTCTCTGTGATAGTGAGCAAACCAACAAAGGCGAATTGTCAACATTCTACAAGAAGGTGCCTGGCGGTGTATTTCAAAGCCTAGGATCACACTTTATAGTACTAATTCCATTTTCTGTGACCAAAAAAATACAATCTTACATCCTCCCACTGCAGTATGGTCTTGCCAAAGCCATATTTCAGGAAGGCGGATCATTTCTAATATATGATCTCAAGGCAGTCCTTGGTTTTAGCTGTTAATTAACACTAGCTTGTTTAATTCACAAGTTGTTTCACTTGACTCAGACATCTCTCTCCAAATAGTTTATAAGACCCTAGAGATAGAAACCATGTTTTATGCCTCCTTGCTATGCCTTAAAATACACGTATTGGAGTGCTCCACACGTAACAGGTACTCAAATAATTGTAGGAGTTTGTATATATGCTGTTCTATTGGTTAATAAGTCAGAAATTCTAAAAATATTCCAGACAGAAATTTCTACTATTGGACTAAAAATATGCTATTGTGATAAAAAATTAAAAATGTACTTTCCTTTTTTTAATTGTTTAAAGATTTGAGAGAGGTAGAGAAAGCGAGAGAGAGAGAAAGAGAGAGCACGAGCATGAGCAGGGGGAGGGGCAAAGGGAGAGGGAGAAGGAGACTCCCACCCTGACGTGGGGCTCAATCGCAGGACCCTGGGATCATGACCCAAGCCAATGCTCAACTGACTGAGCCACCCAAGTGCCCCTTCTAAAAATGTACTTTCCTCTAATCTTCATATTTATTGAGCCTCTAATGTGTGTGTGTGTGTGTGTGTGTGTGTGTGTGTGTATACTTATATTTATATGGGACTTTTTACTTAAGTTGCTCTTTTTTTTCTCATAGCCAATGGCATAGTACATGTAAGATGAATGATTTTTCAGTTACTAGAGTGAAATATTTGATAAATCATTAGTGTTTATAATAATTTGGAATATGCTACAAACCTCAGTAAATTTTAATTATTCATGCGATAACATCAACAGACTCATTAGGATGGCAGCTTGATAAAGATTATTGTTATGATGAGCCAATAAAAGCTTACACATAATATGTCATCTCACTAGTAATAGTAATAAATTGTTCTTGAGCATTTACTGAATGTCAAATACCATGCTGAGTTTTATAGGTATTATTTCATTTAATTAATCCTCCCAACAACCTTGACAGTAGTACTAATTAGTTTTTCCATTTTACAGATAAGGAAACTGAGGCCCAGAGAGATTAAACCTGTCCAGGGTCACAATGTTAACAACATAGCCAGAATTCAAGCCCAGGTTGCTGGACTCCAAAACCATGTCTTTCCACTTTACCAGGCTGCCCACTGTAGATAACTTGAGTGGAAACTTAAATTCTTACAAGCGCTTGAGAACCAGAGGTTGAGCCAAAGGCTGCTGGGCATTTACACGGACCCAAAGGAGAGATCCAACCACAGGCCAGCCACTGTGCTAGGGGCCCGGAATACAGCTATAAACAAAACAGAGAATCTCTGCCCTTATGAACCTTATAATCTGCAGATAAGGAACTGCACATAGGGATCCCTGGGTGGCGCAGCGGTTTGGTGCCTGCCTTTGGCCCAGGGTGCGATTCTGGAGACCCCGAATCGAATCCCACGTCGGGCTCCCGGTGCATGGAGCCTGCTTCTCCCTCTGCCTGTGTCTCTGCCTCTCTCTCTCTGTGTGTGTGACTATCATAAAACAAATTAAAAAAAAAAAAAAGAAACCGCACATGATTTCAACTGCGAGGGTCAGGAATCAGTTGCACAGAATGCTATGGGTTCCTCAGCTTGTGGCTGAGGAACCTATTCTAGTAGGTGGTAATAGTTGAGGCAGAGATAAATAGAGTCAAGAGATCTTTTGAAGATGGAAGTCATAGCACTTGGTAGTTGATTAAATGTATGGAGTAACAGGGGACATTCAGGGAAAGAGTCAAATTACTTGCTATCTTGTCTAGTGAGGCAAACCTAGGCTCCCTATTCATCTCTGAATCAGCCTTATAGTCACTAAGTATTTCTTGATTCCATGCCCTTTGACCCACCCCAAGCCAAGTCCTCATCACTTCCTTTTTATTAATTCCCCACTTCTTATAATGAAAATCTGATCAAATCATTTTCCCACTTAAAATATTCTTGGATTGCACCATCCATTAGAGTAGCCACTAGCCACAGGTGGTTAGTCTGAATTGGGAGGTGCTGTTAAATCTGAATACACACAGGATTATGGAAAGTTAATACTCCCCCCAAATGCAGAATATTTTATTTTTTAAAAGATTTTATTTATTTATTTACTTGTTCATTCATTCATTCATTCATTGAGACACACAGAAAGAGAAGCAGATCATAGGCAGAGGGAGAAGCAGGTTCCCTGCGGGGAGCCCGATATGGGACTCAATCTCAGGGCCCCGGGATCACAACCTTAGTCAAAAGCAGATGTTCAACCATGGAGCCACTCAGGTGCCTCCAGAATATTTTATTAATAGCTCTTAAATTGATTACATGTTGAAATAATATTTCTGGACATTTTATTAAATAAAATATATTCTTGAAATCAATCCTTCTATTTCTATGTATTTATTTATTTAAAGATTTATTTATTCATGAGAGACAGAGAGAGAGAGAGAGACAGAGAGAGAGAGAGAGAGAGAGGCAGAGACACAGGCAGAGGATGAAAAGAAGCAGGCTCCATGCAGGGAGCCCGATGTGGGACTTGATCCCGGGTTTCGGGTCCCTGGGATCAGGCCCTGGGCTGAAGGCAGTGCTAAACTGCTGAGCCACCCGGCTGTCCTCTTTTAATTTTTTTTAATGTGGCTCCTAGAAAATTTAAAATTATGTGTGTGACTTGCCTTTTATTTCTACTGGTTAATCCTAGAGTATCCCACTGTTGTAAAGATAAAGTCCAAGCTCTTTACATGGTATACAAAGTTCTTTGGGGTTCAGTCTAATTTTTTGCTACTCTACTATACATAGAGTATAGTATGTATAATAGAGTACATACTATACACCAAATCACTTGATTTTCCCACATTCTCTCTCATACCCTCTGCATGGTATCCTTCCAGTCATTGCTAATTTAGTATTTTATTACTAATATTTTTTAAATTAAAAAAACTAATAAATAGCACCTTACCTCCTCCAAGAATATTGTACTCATTTCTCTAAGCAGCATAGAGATTTCTCCTCCATGCTATCCAGTGTCATGTTATCATCATATATACGTCTTTTTTTTTTTTTTTTTTTTTCGCTCCTGTCTCCAGTATAGAGTATTTAAGGCCGCAGCACAATGCCTACGCTGTGGAAGATGTTTAATAAATGTCTGCTAAATAAATGAATCTACCTAGACAATCATTGAAGGAATGATCAAATGTTTATAGAATTCAGTAAATGCACCAATAACAAAATATTAACCCCAGTGGGTCAATATAATGTAATGCACTTAAGATCATACTGTGTTTATACAAAATCAAAGTTAAATGTTGAATTATTTTCAGGGGCACCTGGCTGCCTCAGTCGGAAGAGTACACGACTCTCGATCTTGGGGTCATGAGTTTGAGCCCCATGTTAGGTGTAGAGATCTCTTAAATAAAAACTTTAAAAAAAATTATTTTCATACTCACAGATTTTCCTTCAGCCCAAATGACTGCTCCAACTCCAGTTTTATGATCCTCTGAAAGATAAATGTCATTTAACTCAGTAAAGGTCAATAATTTATTAGTTTAAGAAACATGTTTCCCCAAATAATACACATTACTGAAACATAATTCATAATATAGCAGCAATCCTTGACATCTTTGCTGATTATAAAAATACTTTTTTATTACTAAATACATTTATTTAATAAAAGTTTACCACTAAAATACTCTTCAGTACAGAATATGAGAACTAGATACTGAATAACTGGATAGTGTCACGATCAACCCAGTCGAACATGATCTGTGTACAGAGCCCACAGTCAGATCAGTTCAAAGTGTAACCAGAACTGAGTGTAATTTTATAGACTCTCCACCAAATCAGTTTCTAAAAGACTATTTCTCAGAGATGATGATGAAATCGATTTATAAGGAAATTTCTGAACTAGTGGATTTAATGTCACAACAATTCGCAACACTCCAATCTGTCTTCTATCCTTTTTTTACACGCTAGTTATGGAAAACACATTTCATGGAAATGTTCTTGCTAAGAAGAGTTCAAACTTAGAATACCAACAAATACAAGTTTTTATGGGCTTTCCTATATATTTGAAAGTCCTTTCCCTGACCTTCAGAGTTTACTCTGGGAAGAGTAAGGGGGAAAGAATGCCGACTTAGTGAATGATGCCCATTTCTAAATCCAAGTGGCAGAGTTATGAACGTAAGATCATAATTTCCCTACAGAGCCAGAACCTCTGTAAAAATAAAGCTGCATTTCTTAAAATCACTGATCGGCAACAGAAAGCTTTAAAAAACCAAATTACAAATTCTGTATATCAAGGACTGACTTTTTCTTCTACTAATACAAGGGTAACTTTCAAATTTCTAAGACAATTTATACACTAGTTATGAAAACATAGCACTTATCAAAATCTTAATAAGGGACCAAAGTCGTTAAGGAGGTGCAACTACACAGAGACGGGACCAATCATCTGTGAACTTACTCTAGGGTATTTTCATATTGGTAAGGATTAAATGAAACTCTAGTTTCTTCCTACTATTTCCTAAAAGTTAATCCCCTCATATGATAACCTTATCCTACCTAGGCATTAAAAACTAGCTTGCCTTATAAATAAGTCCATCTTTATAAGTTACGATAATATAATGAAATTCCCCATCTTCAAGTAAGCTCGAGTTTTCAAAATTGAAAAAGCAACTGTATAATTTAAACACTTTCTACCCATCACCTCATTTTTACCCTAAGGGTAAAGCAGATACTTCCTTTTCTAGATGAGAAAAATGGCAAAGAAATTAAGTGATTAAAATTAAGCCCTCCAGACGAAACCTACCCCCTTTCTTTGATGGTAAGAATTTCGTAACAAAGACTTCCCTTTATTGAATGCCCAAGCAGACCCCGGTGAAGGAATTCCCCGTATTCATGAGATTTATAGTCCGAGGTGGGAGGGAGACCGGGAGAAGCAAACACACAAGCACCTGTGCTAGGACGGAAAGGAACACGATGCTGGGGAACGGAGGGTAGGGGAAGGCTTGTTCTAGAGTGGAGATTCATTAAAGAGATTTCGGTGTAAACGAAATTTTGTTCCTTCCAAGACCTTCAGAATATAACACGAGGGGGGAAGAATACTATTATGGCTTTACGCTCATTTCTAGGCAAGTGGCAGCAGTTATATATAAACTTAAGATTATATTTCCCTGAAAAACCAAAACCTTTAAGTAAAATTATCCTTAATCCATGTATAAACCTGAAACAAAAAATGAGAGACTAAAATAGAAATTCTTCATATTAAGGGTCTATTTTTTCCTACCATTGACACTAAGTATTTTTCATGTGATTTTTTTTTTTTTTTTTCTAGTCTCAGGAGCCACTTTTTCTGTTTCAGTCTGGGGACAGACGGAAGGAGGGGTAAAATGTGATTTTCCACCAGTATGCAGCTCTACTGCCTAGCTAAGTTTAATTATACCAGCAGAATATTTTTTACTATGTCTTTTAAAACCAGAATAAAATTTAATCCACGTTAGGTGTAGATTTCACACAGCTCCAAGGTTGGATGACAAATGAGGTGATTTCTCAAGAATCTTTTCATTTCTGCAATTTTCACACAAATCGCTCCCCATGATCTGCTCATTCACAAGGTTTTCTCTGTGTACCTTTGAGGGAAAGGTCGACTTATAATTGCTGAGCCAAATTCCTGAGACTCGGATCACTGAAAGTCAGGGAGCTCTTTTAGCCCATGGTTCCGGAACACGGGTGTGGTTATTTAGCTCCTGATTCTGTGGCCACGTCAGATTTGTCCGAGTGTGATCCACAGCCCACTTCATCAGAATCACTGGATGCTTGTTAAAAGGAGGCCTCCTGGCCCCCATGGAAATCTCCTAGAGCAACCTCTCCGAGTCAGGCAGGGCTCACAAACCTGCATTTTCGGTGAGCATCAGCTGGGGTTCAAAGGCGTACTGCAAGTTGAGAACCACCAAGCTATGATCTGAGACAGCTAACTTCCGTGGCTACTCCAACCTGCATTCACCACCACTGTTGTGTTTTAGGAGGAAAGCATAATCTTCAGCTTTGGGAAACACTGTGTCTAAGGGAAAACAGGGCCCTGTTCAGAAATCACACTTGAATCGGGTAAGATGCAATGCCCTCCTAAACTCTTTTTTTTCCCCTTTAGGGTCTAAAGGAACGTTGTCACTCTTTTGCTACCTCAAAATGTCCTTTAATGACATCTCTGTGGATTCTATTTATCCATCATTCAAAAAGCAATCATCAAGCACCTACTTCTCAGTTACTTTTAGAATTCTGTTGTTAGAAGTTTGGGAATTCATTTTACTCGATATGTGTATTTTTAAATGGTGTCTTCATCTCTAGAGTGAAATAAAGTCGTCAAAGCAAACTGAACAGAGTGAAACTAAAAGTCTGAGTTATTAGGAGCATGCTCTATCGGGGGGATATCTACCCAGGTGGATTGTTAAAGGAGACACATATATACTGCCTGGCTCTGTGCCTGGCACCTTCTAAGTGCTCAATAAATTGTTATTGTTATAATTTATCACCAATGAAGAATATAGGTCTAGATTTTCTTATCTGAAATCCCTTATGCTTTTCAGATAAGACAGCTTTTTTTTTTTTTTGACAGCTTGATTATACTTATTTTGTGACCACACCTGACCACATATTTAGTGCAAATATTCATACATTTTACTCCATATGGATGTGCTTGATTACAATGTACTGCCCCAGGCCCCTCCCTGGAATGCTAAGATACAATATATATAACCATATTACCTTTCTAAAATCTGAAAAATTCTGGACTCCTTTTCATCTGGCTCCAAGAATTTTGGATAAGGGATTGTGGACCGTTTACCTTTGGATATAAAAAAAGATTTCCTTTATCCATTCAGCACATTGCGCTTAGCGCTAAGGGAAAAATGATGACGAGCACATGGTTCTCTTCCCTGGATGAGCTGACAGTGGAGTGGAGTGCATGACCCAGAGTTGCATCCTATTCAAGATTTGGGCTCCAGGCAAAAAACAAACAAACAAAAAAATCATACACAATCAAAAAATGAACCTTGAAAAAATTTTTAAGTTACCCATCACGTGCAGAAGCACATCTTTATGCACAAAACTCTGCACAGAAAGAGTGGATAACTTTAGAATTAGAGTATCTTCTAAAGAATGTAGATGCATATTTGTATCTATACATTACTGCATCTTTAAACACTGGAATCATACATGGTATGATGGGATATTCTCCTAGGAGAAGCAGGATGTACTGAGATAAGTAAAAGAACAGCACATTCCTGTCTCCCGGTTTTACCATCACTCTGGAATCAGCTGAATTCTAATTAGCAAAGGGGAATTAGTGATGTAGAGCTATGACAGCTGTTCCCACTGATGTTTCTGTCTTTCCAGAATGGCTTAGAGAAGAGTTCTTTATAAAGCTGGTTTTGGCTAAGATGCTAATGCAGAGCCCATGATACAATAACATAATTATATTAAATCAGACTTTTGCACATTTGTTTGGAGCTATATGGTTTGTGCCTGTAGGAGAACCAAGTTCTTTAATAAAGAATTGAGTGATTATTAACCCTGCTGAACATCAGAATCCTTTGCAGAACCTTAAAAATTCCTTAGGCCACATCCTTACAGACTTGGTTCAGTAGGTCTGGGTTGGAATTTACGCATTTGTACTTTTAATGAAAGTTTTGATGGCGACTCTGACATGCTGTCAGTTGAGAATTTCTATTCTACTCCAAAGTACTTTGTGGTCTTTAGAATTAGAATATACTGCAAACCAGTGGCATTTGTATGGACCTCTTCTTAAGATTTTCTTTCTTCCCTTCTTTCTTGGGATAAGCTCAAAAAAAAACAAACAAACAAATAAAATCCTCCATTCACCAAATCTTATTCTACTGTTCCTCCTGCCTATATTTTCCCCCCTTTATTTCAAAGTTGCATTTAAAAAAGTGATCAGATCATGATTCTACTTTGAAAAATCTTATGTCTGGCAAGATGTGAAAATATTGTTCTATAATTGGCAATATAGATCCTTTATCTATCTTTTATCACAATAAAGAAAATTCTCAATAAAGAAAATCCCCAAGTGACATTTTCCTTTTTTCATATATACACTCATGTACAACTTAAAGTAAAAACATTTGATTTCTTAACTTGCTGATTAAAGATATACCAGCAATTGGAAGAAGTTGTCAATATTCCTTTACTTTAATTCTGTTAGTTATTTTGAATTCACATTTTTATTGTAAAGATTTTCAAAGCTTTATTAAATACTGAATACACACAAAATATTGAAGAGTTAACTAAAAATGAATAATTTTGGTCTCTCTCCTTTCTCTTTTTTGTCCCATCTCTAGTAGAGGGCTCCATGAACAAGACGACAAAGGCAGGAAGCAGGAGGGTCTAGATAATCAGTTCCTGATTTACAAATGTAGCACTGAATATAAGGCCACAGGAATCCTAAACCTTCTCTCAGAGTTGTCTATTCAAGGGTGTCACTTGCTTCTATACATATAATGACCAGCAAAACTTCAGTATCTAAGAGTAAATGAACTCTATGATAGAGGAGATGAAAACCGTTTTACTTCTGAGACAAATACAACCCAGTCAGCCCCAATTTATGCACTAAGCAAATAACTCACCAGTTCGATATGCCAATAACCTGGCCTGAACCATGCAGTGCCTTGCAATTTCTTGTGGCAAACTTTGATTGTGAGTTTCATTAATCTGTTCGGTATTACCACAATAAAATCCGTAGTGCTTAAAGTTGGGCACACTGGAAGCTACTGTGGCCAAGAGTAGGATAAGGTCTTTCATGTTTTGCCTCAGATTGCTAAAGTATGGATTTTCACATAGGTTCTCCAAACCTATCGTCATCAGTATTTGCTTATGCATTTCTTCATTTGAAACCAAAAATAACATTTCATATTCTTTTATTCTTTCTTGTTTACATTCAGAATAAAAGTCAACGTTAGCATCCGGCAACGTTTTTGCAATTTTTTGAATAAAGTCACATTTGTAAGAGGTCTCCTCTACAAACTGCACCATATAACACACCAAAGGCTGAAGTAAGACACACACATGGGCCCGACTGTTTGACTTCAATCTTTCCACTGCTTTGGCATCTAACTTTGCATCTTCAGAACTAGAAGCCTCAGTAAGCAAACTTATTTCTGGATCAGCTGGCCAGTATGAAATTCGGTTAACTCCAGCTGAAATACAAAATATGAAAGGTAGTTATCAGACAAATGTTGAAATTAAGAGTTTTCTTAATAAACCCACCATATCATTGTGGTAGACCCAGAGGTCCCAATATGATAAATGTCTATCATGAAGTCATCTATAAATGTCTTGGCAAACTCTGGCCCACAGGTCAAATTTGTCCCATTGCCTGTTTTTGTACAGTGTGCAGGTTAAGAATGGATTTTATAGTTTTAAGTAGTTGGAAAAATTAAAAGAATACTATTTTGTGATACATGAAGATTTTATGAAATTCAAACTTCAGTGTCATTTATATAAATAACATTTTATTTGAACACAGAGTCACTCATTCATTGACATAGTCTCTGGTTGCCTTTGTACTACAATGGAGCAGCAGACTGGTACAGACACCATAGGGCCTGCAAAGCCTAAAATATTTGCTATCTAGCCCTGTATGGGAAAAGATGGCTGACCCCTAACACAGCTCATGGAAGTTATTTGTGGAATCCCTGGCTTTACTAAGTGTGGTCCCGAAGCCTAGTTCCAGGACTATATAACCAGAGTCCTGTAAGTAATCAAATGGCTGCTTCTAGAAATACTGTAGCTGACAACTGGGAGTGTCTAGAGTCTTGTATTTGAAATAATTCATCCATACATTAAAAATGTATCTACACTCTGAAATCTTCCTCTGGGAAGCTATTCTAAAAAAAAAAAAATCACACATGCATATATCTAATGCAGCACTGTTTAAAATAATAAAAATAGAGGGGCATCTGGGTAGCTCAGTCAGTTAAGTGTCTGTCTTTGGCTCAGGTCATGATCCCAGGGTTTTGGGATTGAGGGCCCCCCCACCCAACCTCGTTGGGCTCTTTGCTCAGCGGGGAATCTGCTTCAACCTCTCCTTTTGCTCCTCCCCTAGCTCATACTCTCTCTCTCTCTCAAGTAAATACTTAAAACAGTAAAAACAGAAAAAACCTAAATGGTCAAAACAATGTGAGGGCAGCAATGTATGTGTGTTGGGTGGGGGGAAGGGGAACAATATTATTTTTTTTAAGCCCACAAAATTAAAGACAAAACAATAAACTAGAATTTTCAATTAATGTGACAGGTTAGTAATCTTTAATATACAGAGAAGATTTTAATTCATTAACAGTACATATGAATTGACAAGAACAGTAAGGCCTCAAGACCAACAAAATGATATGATCAGACAATTTATAAAACAAAACTAGGTAACAAACAGATGAAAAATATTTTGTATTCGAGAGGGAACGAGATGCCTTATACAGGGTTAAGCACCAAATGTTCATCAGTTAATCAGTATTTTACAAAGAGACCCCTTTGTTAGTATCTATCTCATGCAATTTCAGCTAGGAAAGATTCTTATGATTGTGCCCAGAAGTGAAGAGACAGATGCCCCACAGGGTGTCCCGCATTCAAAGTAACAGATGAACTAAAAAGTCTTAGCTGAACAAGCAGACATTTCTATCTACTCCCTGCTCCCCCTGACTCTTATTGTAGCTTGCATTATAAATCAATTTTGAAGGCCTCGGAGCTCACATCAGAATGCTTCCTCTGGCTACATTTCACCTTGCTTCCTTCTGTTGGGGTTCTCATAATCCATTTCCTACTCAGTAGCGATAGTCAATCTTTCATCTAAGCATCTGGCTTGCTTCTAGCAATCCTGATTTAAGGAGAAGAGGGGATGGCTAGCTAGGCTTTGAACAAATGTTCATGTACCAGTGGCAAATGCTACAGCAGGGACTTCCAAATTTTCAGACCTCGCTACACTCTTAAAAATTAACGAGAGCCCCACAGAGCTCTGCCTATGTAGATTATATACCTACTGATACGTACTATATTAGAAACTTAAATTTCAAAAAATTTAAATTCATTAAAAATAACAAGAGAACCTACTACACATTAATATAAATAACACAGTTTAATAAAAAAATAACTGTATTTTCCAAAACAGTAATGAAAACTAGTTAAGAATGGCATTGTTTTAAATGTTTACAAATCTCTTTATTATCTGGCTTAATAGAAGACAGCTGGATTCTTGAATCTGCTCCTGCTTTCAATCTGTTGTGATAGGTTGTTTCCACTGAAGTATATGGAAAGCATCCAGCCTCATACATATGTCTGGTTGAAAAAAAGAGTACTTTAACAGACATTTCAGATAACTGAATATTCTTGACACTACATAAAAATTTGACAAGGGATAATTTCTTAAAAGTTAGTTACAATGTGGAATCTGAAATATACCAACAAAATTTTTTACAATTACGTTAAGCTCCATTGGCTTATTGTGCACTTAGAATGGCTCTTTCACTCATGCATGATGTTGTAGCATCATATGTTGGTCTTCTGGAAAATACTGGTTTACTGATTTTACAATATTAAAAAAGAAGTCCTATTCATTAGTATCACCATTATTCATATCACATCATTAGAGTCTTTAAGTGTTGGGAAAGTGTAAGCTCATGATGGTGGATGTGACTTTTCCAAAATTCTAATTTTCATCTGAAGACTCAAATTTTATCACTAGCAACAAATACTGTCAGATTTCCTGGGAGTTACTGGTTCACTTCATTCATTTCTGAGAGTGTCTGTCAATTGGCCAAGTCTAAAAAACTATATAGTTTGTGTGTTGACAGTGTTTCATGAAAAAAAAGTGAGTAATTCAGTTCATAACATAAGCATAAAGACTAAGAAAGAGAAGCCATTTCAGGCCCCCAGCCATGTTCTGTGACCTACACCTTCCTTACCGGCTCTACTTGCCCTAGCACACGTCTTGCAGAACCTTCCAGGAAATGTCAGAATTGCAAAGAAATGCAAAAGGATTTTAAGGGAACAAAGGTAATGCAAAAACTAACTGTGGCTACCAGGCTTGGAAATAGCCCAGTCCTATCAGTCACATAAATCAGTGGTAAAAACTCCCAGTGCTGTTTCAAAAGTTAACAAAGCCCTGCATTCCTTGCCAGAGATAAGGAGCTCAAGACCTCATCCTGTTTATACAAGCTCTAGGGGTATGCCCATAGCCCCTTCCCTTGTCTGACAGGGACATGCAAGGTTACCTCTGCCTCATTACATTAAAATTTCTGCCCAAGGAGGAGCACAACCCTCACTGACATGATATACAATGTAAGTAAACGCATGTTTCCTTAAAACCAATGCACAACCTTATGCCCGCCTTTGTACATGATGACATAACTCCCCTTACTAAATATTTATCATAACCCCCAAAAAAGAAATCCGCACCCAGCTCAGGGAGTCATGGATTTGGAAGTTACTCCCCGTGACCTCCTTATTTGCTGCAAGTAAAGTTTCCTTCCTTGTGGAGTGACACTTCACCTGGTGCAGTTCCTGTCTACAACTCACCAAGGAGCCAACTCAGGAACTCCTGTTAGTTCAGTTACAATAACTCAAACAACTGCACATGTAGATGGCTTTCCTTAAGGCAACCTTCATACTTGGTTGGGTTTGCAGCAAAAGTGCTCCTATTTTTTCAGACAGAATATTAAAAAGATGTCTACCTAAGGGCTGGGATTTAATAAAATTAATAATGTTAACTGTTTCATCAAGGACGTTCTTACATGAAACCCTCTTTTTAAACTCCAAGTTCGTGGCCATGGAGAGTACAAGGACTATCACTGCCTTGACTCATTCTACAGCAACAGTAGTTTTACTCACTATTCTTTTGGTACTATTGGTATAAATGTAGTGTTATTATGAAAACAGTATGACCTTGTGGACCATCAGAAAGCCACAGACCGCACTTTGAGAACCACTGTGCTTTAGCAAGGTTTCCCTTGTAATTGGCCTAATAGGAACTGTAGCATGGGGTTAAACCATGACCCTTCCCCCAAGATCAAATGTATAAGCCTAAAGTAACAGCAATTTCATTTATATATGGGTCCAGCACTAACATAAAAGCATTTCTATTGTAGGTTCTTCCTGATTTTCCACCTTCATAATTTGCTTTGTGAAGTTCAAACGTCTTAAAGACATCAAGCAGTGGTGAGTTAACTGCACTCCCTTATTTTTCTAATTTTTCTTTCTAATTCTGATTCTCTAATAGGTCAGAGGCTAGTAAGACTATTTTCAGCATAGTCAGCTCAGTACAAAACACAACTATGTTTTATTCATTTTTCTCTCTTGACTCTAGAAGAGATTAATCAACAGTGTTTTGGTCTTGTCACATTCTTTTTCTGTATCAATGCCATCTCAACCCTATTTCACACCCTGCCATAAGAGTCTGCTCATCAAGCTCTTAACCTCTTATCTTTCCAGGTTCCAATTTGATAACAAAAAATTAAGAAGTCGGGGATCCCTGGGTGGCGCAGCGGTTTGGCGCCTGCCTTTGGCCCAGGGCGCGATCCTGGAGACCCGGGATCGAATCCCACATCGGGCTCCCGGTGCATGGAGCCTGCTTCTCCATCTGCCTATGTCTCTGCCTCTCTCTCTTTCTCTCTCTGTGACTATCATAAATAAATAAAAATTTAAAAAAAAAATTAAGAAGTAATAATAATAAGTTTAATGATGTTACAACCTGCTCAAAAAGCTTCGGTGGCTCCATATTATCTGTAGTAGGATTTATAGGTCAACTAACACAAGTGATAAATGAATATCCAATCTGTACAATTGGTCAAAAAAAAAAAAAAGTCCCTACCATTCTCAAATCTACCTTCTCTATTCATAATGGCAGGGGAAAGACTATAGAACCCAAGAGTATCTGTGCTCTACCTGCCTGAAATACTTGCTGCAGGCCAGGAGGCTCTAGCCACATGACCATTTCTTTTGGAAGTGCCTCCACTGTAGCTCAAGGGCACTGCCTTCACTATGGATCTGATCACTACTCTGAAGACTTTCATGTAAATAAAAATCACCCTTTCTCTAAGTTTAGGAATTCTGTTTTATGAGATAAAGCTCAAAGGCCATACAGTTTTTCAAAGTTCTCCACTGAAGTCCCAACTGATTATTATCATCCATCTGCCACTATTCTTTCCAAGAGTATTTCTCCATCTTAAACACCAACCCCCAGCAGCTTGCTTCTCACAAACTGACGAATCCACACGTGCTGGCCCCCTGACCAGGAATGTGTTCTTCGTCCTCTTCATCTGACCCATCAAGATCCAGCTTAAGCCCCAGCCTTTCATTACATGCCAACCTGCATGGATCACTCTGAATTCATAGATCACCTAAGGATCACTCTGAATTCATAGATCACCTAACAGCCTTTATCACTCATTCAGTACTAGATGATGTGTTATATTAAATGGTAACACAGATAACCCAAGGAGCAAATTGAGGGAATGGATTAAAAGTATATAAACCTTATTTTCCCCCAGAATCTCTCCAAACCCTTTTTCTAGGGGGTTTTTAAGGACACCTCACTACACAGGCATGATCGACTACATTATTGGCCACTGGTAACTGAACTCAAACTCCTGTCCCACTCTCTTTCCCCAGAGGTCTGAGTGAGTTTAAAAGCTCTAACCCTCTAATGACCTAGTTGGTTCCACTGGCAACCAGGACCTCATCTATGGGGTTTCCCAAAGTCACTTCACTAACAAACTCAGGTGTCGCTGAAGGGGGTGTGTTAAGAATAATAAAAGACACCTCTATCACTCTCAACACTCAGGAAATCCCAAGGGTTTTAGTTGCTTTTTTTTTTTTTGGCCAGGACTGGGATGAAGACCAATACATAATTCATGTTCTAAGTCACAATACCACAGTGCCTATGTAAAAGAGGTCATATGTTTAAAATGGGAAAATGGTCTGCATACTTACCTGGGTACAAGATAGAATCATAAGCATAAAGAGCTTTAGTGAGTAGCCTGGCGTAGCAGAGAAGGATAGTTAAACAGTTATAATCTGAGCTTCTCCTTCCGAAGTATGGAGCGGTGACTGGGAGACCACTGCTCAGCCAGGAACTACAGAGCCCAGCGTGGATGTGAACAGAAATGATGCATGGGACTTCCAGGCCAGCGTTTTCAGGAACAGGTAAGCCTTCTCTAGCCTCTGTCTCAGTCTGCCTCTGGATGCAGAGGACTCAAGGCTCTAGAAGACGACAGCAGCAAATATGACAGAAGGTGCCTATGCCCATGAATCAGCCACATGGAGAAAAACAGCCTGCTGTTCAGCAACACCTACGTTTGGACTAGTACATGAGTGATAAAGGTTTAATATGTTGAGCCACTGAAATTTTAGTGTTTGTTATGGCAGCTAGCGTCAGTCTATAATACATGAAGGGTTCTCTAAATAGTTAGTGACAGGGCTGAGACCAAAACCCACGTTTTTTTTTTTACTCTTCTCACAATGTATAAGACTGTATTCTGATACGTATTTATTTTTTTATTTTTATTTTTTATAAAGATTTTATTTTTATTTATTCATGATAGTCACACAGAGAGAGATAGAGAGGCAGAGACACAGGCAGAGGGAGAAGCAGGCTCCATGCAGGGAGCCCGACATGGGATCGATCCCGGGTCTCCAGGATCACGCCCTGGGCCAAAGGCAGGCGCCAAACCGCTGTGCCACCCAGGGATCCCCCTGATACGTATTTATGTTTCTAAATGATCTCAGTGGTGTTTAGACAATTTATCTTGGTTATTCTTAGCTAAATACTATTAATCCCCAACCAAGCCTTATCTACACTTACCATTAACAATCATTTTCAAACAAGCAGAACATGGTTTCCTGGAAAAATAAAGATCACAGTTTTTCAGCCTTGCCCCATGTTTTATGAGAGCAATTTTCCCAGCGTGTAAATCTTCACTAGAACAGTGGAGACCAACAATTTTCGTGTTTTTCACTACCACAAGACCAGTTCTCTTCACCTATATTAAAATACAAAATAATAATGTATTAGTTATAACATTGGTTAAAAAAGACACAAGAGGCCCAAAATGGGACTCATTTCCACATCACCAGCCTGAGACCTAATACCTAACTGCAGTTCTGGCCTCTCCCAGGAATATAGCCTCAATCAATCAGAACTGGAATTTCCTAGCAGCTAGCGAGGATATCCACCTGGTAAACTCCTGCAGTCCCCCAAAGGAAGGAGCCTTACCTGAAACAATCCACTTTTTGCTAGCAACTTCTTTTTCCTGTCCCTCCTACCTTACAAATCTCCTTTTTGCATTGCTTCAGAGCCCCTCTATATTTACTAGATGGGATGCTGCCCAATCTGTGAATCATTGAATAAAGCAATTAGATCTTTCAGTTTACTCAGCTGAATTGTGGGTTTAAGGTTTTATTTATTTACTCATGAGAGACATAGACAGAGAGACAGAGAGACAGAGACACAGGTAGAGGGAGAAGCAGGCTCCATGCAGGGAGCCTGATGTGGGATTTGATCCTGGGTCTCCAGAATCACACCCCAGCCTGAAGGTGGCGCTAAACCGCTGGGCCACCGGGGCTGCCCTGAATTGTGTTTTTTAACAGATTTGGTGGCAGCATTTGGATCCAAGGAAAAACTCCTGATGGCTCCAGGGACAACAAGAAACACAAGCATGGTACCTGCGAACCCTCTAAGCTCTCTGTCATTTTTGCCATATCTAAGGGCCATGGGTAAGTTGGTTCTGAGCTCTGCTCACTTTGCACTGAGCCCCTAATCTGATTGACTTTCCAGTCCAAAATTCCCCCATTTAATTGGAACCAACAGCCCTCGATTTAGCCCCCAGATTCCACATTGGGAAATCCTGGTAATTCAGTCGACTGCTCCCCATTGTGTGGAATCCCAGACTACAGTCCCCGTTTGTTGAGGTCTGCTGGTTCAGTCCTTTACCCAGGCCCAGATTCCATGTTGGTAGTGGTGTGCACAAGACCTTCTCTTGGCCTGTGCATCTCTTGATTACTGCTGGTGTGTTAAGGTGAACATGTCTGTCTTATTTTGTGGAAGTAAAGGCTATTGCTAATGGAATCTTGGGAGACCAAAAGCTGCAAATTGGTGGACACGGGTTGAGCACTTAAAAACTGTTAGAGTGTTTGCCACTTAACTCTAAGAGTCCTGTGTTAGGGTAAGTTAGTCATAGAAGGGGTTATATTGACACTAGGTCACCCACCAACCTCAAGAAAATTTCGATGCAACTAGGTACAAGGTAAAACATCATACAACCCCCAACTCCAACCCAGTAGCATGTCCCTCTTAGGTATTAGTTTGGCTCTGAGAAACTCACTCAGCTTTTTTTAAAAAAAAAAAAAAAAAAAAGAGGGGAGCCTGGGTGGCTTAGCTGGTTAAGCATTCAACTCTTGGTTTCAGCTCAGGGTCCTGAGATTGAGCCCTTCGTTGGGGTCCATGCTGAGTGTGGAGTCTGCTTGTCCTTCTCCCTCTGCTCCTCCCCCTGCTCTCTCTTTTTAGAATAAATAAATAAAATCTTAAAAAGAGAGCAAGAGAGAGAGAGAGAGAGAGATCCTTAAGTTCCAAAGCATAGCACTTTTTGGTACACTTAACTTATTTTAAGCCTAAAAATTATATCCTGGAAGCTATAAATATCTACAAAATGACAAAATCTTACGAAGTTTTTCTGTGCCCCAAGAACAGAAAACAACAACCTTGGTAACAACCATCAGGTTGGGGGCTCCAAAATATGACCAGACAGAAATGTGGGTTGCACCTCATTTACCACTAGCTACAGCTGGACAGAAAATATGGGTTAAACTCACTTTCTAGCTAGGGTCCTACCAAACTGCTATAAGTCCTCAGATAAATAACAGCCTAGAACGTAATAGACATTATATGAGGAATGGTCCAATTAGATAAGATCATTCAAAAAGTAAGGGTTCCCAAATCAAACAGAATGGTATATACCTGTTTTAACCAGTATGCAGAAGCCTCCAAAAAGCTTCAAAATTCCAAAATGCCTTCATTGAAAAATTTGTTGCAAATTGCTTGTGAAAAATTAAAGACACAAGAGGTACATAAAACAGGACTCTAAGACTGAGGTAACTCCTACCTTTACCCTCTATCCTCCTTTAATTGAGTGTTCATCCTAGTTATCCTCCGTCTGAATCTTCTTTCCACTCTGAGAAGACTATAAAACCATAAACAAAACTCCACCAAATTAGAGGCTTTACGGATACGCCCATATACCCTTGAAGGAGGACTAAGATGCCACTTGACTCCCTTAAATGACGAAGGGAAATAAAAAAAATGATGGAAACCTTGCCAAATGTTGGTAGATACAAAGCTGCACACTACTTTACACCTCACTAGGAGTCTGCAGATGGGATCCTAGGAAAAACAGGCAGAAGCTAGCTAAGGGTGAGAACTCTTACCAGAGTCAGCTCTCCTGGATCTCTATCTGCAGCAACCGGTAGAGAGAGACAGAGAGAGGGGAAAGGAAAACCTTTCCAATCCTCTTTGAGTCCAAGGACTTAGTTACTACTGCCAGGAATACTTCCTGTTTGTCTCAGCTGAAAATTGACACGCTATTTAAAAGGTTTTTGTTGTTGTTGTTGTTAAGTAGCTAGTCCTGTGGTCAGAAATTGGCCAGATTAAACGCTGATACTCAAAGCCTGATAGTTTTTCTTAGGCATTCTCTTCTAGTCTAAAATAGAAACTATGAACAGAGGACAAGAAAAAATCTTCTCAAGCTTTTGTCGAAGGATTTACTAAAGTGTTACAAAGACAAACAGCTCTAAATCCAGAACACAGAAATCTTTTGATTTCCATCTTAGTTGGAAATATTTTCCCTGATATGAAAAAGCAAATTGAAGATAATGTGGTTGGATGGGTGGACCAACCTATGATGTCATTTAAGTTACAATCCCAATTCCTTGAGAAATTAAAAGCAACTGTTCTTATGTTACTGGTCTTTGCAAAACCAGAAATGCAGCTATGGGAACATTTCAAAGTCCACCTATTCTTTTTACCAATCCTCAAACCTCCTGTATTTATCTTAAAAGGCTTATAAGTAGTTTTGGAGGAACTTACGTCTTTCCCTGTACCTTTGAGATGTACATGTTTTATCAGGTCTTCCCCAGGAATGCTAATCTAAACCATCCCCAATTCTTAAGACTGAAGGAAAAAAGTGTGTGTGTGTGGGGGGGGGGCACTTTTTATAAATACAAATTGATACAGAAGATCCCTTGCCCCAAATTTAGTTACAGCTTTCATAAAACTGCTTGTGTCAAGGACAAATGCCAATCTTAAAAGTCTTCTCCACAGATGTTATAGAAAAAGCTTTAGCCATCTGAACAGGTAAGTTTAACTTATTCCAACTGTTCTTTTATAAGTCAGTGAGCTTTGCATCTCATGGCTAAAATCTTAAAATGAAAGCTATAAGGCTTCTTGTTTGCATCCGTCATGTGTTTATGTGAATCTATGTATATGTGTTGTAGGTGTGGTATTTTCTACCTCTGGATAGTATTGCCAAAATTAATTTGTAAAAAAGCTCCATTTAATTGGCTTAAAGAAAATTAAGCACTTAAATGGATTATTCGCAAAATTCTCCACAATATTATAGAAACGATCCCAAATGTATTTCAGGTTCACATGATCTGGAAAAATATTCAGTATTTTTTTTTTAAATATTCAGTATTAAGGCTAATTTAAGCTTGTTGGTTTAATTAAAATAGACATGTCTTTAAAGTTATCAGCACTGAATATAATGCAGTCATACAAGTTTTTTCTATGTGGCTTTACTAGTCAAAAAAGTTCATGTTCTCTCTGTTACAAAATCTGTCAGAGAAATAACTTGGAATGATGAAATTTAATAAGCAATCTAAACAATTGCTCAAAATAAGTGAACTAAGTAGATGTGAGATAAAAGTTCTTAGGCAAACTTTTAAAATAATTCCCCCCAATTTTTTTGTAACCTGAAACCTTAAAAATTTGCCAAACCACAGAATGCTAATGCAAAAGAAAATTCACAGTTGTCTACTTCTTTATTTTTATTAGAAATTAAGGTTTTTAAAGGTTGCAAATTCTAATATATTTAATTAAAGCTACTAGAAATAATTTTTAAAATAACCTCCATATGCAAGGAAAGTAGGATATGTGTTTTCAGGAAAATAAAGCATGAGGAATACATTTTTTTGTTGAGGGAAAAGAAAGTAATTTTGTCCTAAAGTGAGGCTGGTTATTTCAGAATGGGAAAGAGGAAAAACATGGGACAAAATCTGAAGGGATACTAAAGAGGTTACAGAAGATTTGTGGAAAAGGAATATTGTGTGTGATGAAGCTGGCTAATATTAGAATAAATTAAATTAAGGGTTTTTTAAAAAAATGAATGTATTTTATTTTTAAAGATTTATTTATTTGGGATCCCTGGGTGGCGCAGCGGTTTGGCGCCTGCCTTTGGCCTAGGGCACGATCTTGGAGACCCGGGATCGAATCCCACATCGGGCTCCCGGTGCATGGGCTTCTGCTTCTCCCTCTGCCTGTGTCTCTGCCTCTCTCTCTCTCTCTGTGACTATCATAAATAAATAAAAATAAAAAATAAAAAAGATTTATTTATTTATTAATGAAAGACACACACAGAGAGGCAGAGACCCAGGCAGAGGGAGAAGCAGGCTCCATGCAGGGAGTCCAATGCGGGACACAATCCCAGGACCCTGGGGTCACACCCTGAGCCGAAGGCAGATGCTCAACCAGTGAGCTACCCAGGCGTAAATGAATGTATTTTAATACCAAAAGTAAGGTGGTACAAAATTAAAGTTTGGTTCTCTCTGTTAAAAGAATAAAGTTTTCTTGGACTATTGGTCCGTTCTTGATAAGAGACTGTAAAAGGTCTTTCTTTACCTTTTAAGTAATCTGTCCATAAAACAAAGATTTTGTGTTTTCTCAAAATGATCTTATGTGTTTCATGTTGTCTTCATCAGGTGTTTGATTACT